ACGTGGAGCTCATGGGAAGATTTTGTCCTATCCAGGCTTCCCAAGAGCATGAACCAAATTCCTTGTCCCGACAAAAACCCTTTTATTAATTTACTGTGAATTCCGCTCATTCACATCCAGCAAAGTCTTTCGAGGGAGGATTTACAGTCACAGACCTTATCTGGCTTGGAGAACTGCCAAGGTGATATCTGCAAAACTTGGCAAGGAATCTCAGAGAGTCACGGAGCAATTAAGCAAACTAATTGTCTCCTGCAAACTCCACTCCCCTTTTGCTCCTCTTTTATTTCCACTGGGAGGGCCCATTCATTGTCCGCCTGTGGCCTTATTCCCAAGTCGACTCCTTTTCTTTAGCTGTTCCCTTTGTCTGGCAACTCTGTGTATGCACACACTGGGAACAGACTCCAGCTGTTTGTCTGCCTTACTGATGTCTGACTCTGAAGGCAGATGATAACTGGCATACGGCTCTGGCCCCCTCTCTGCCTCTGACACAGAGCCCTCATCAGAGCTTTTCCCAGATTTCAGGACTGGCCCATGTTCCTCCCCAACTTCCTCACTGTCTGAATCTGCTGCCAGTTCCACCAGCCACTGGCAGATCACAACAGATTTTAACTGCTACTTGGAAGAGTGGAATGTGGTACAATGTGGTGAGGTCTTTGGAAAAATTGGGTATGCACTGGAAGAACCTGCTGCCGGTTTTTGAAACAAAAGAAAAGTGCATAACTTGAATGGAGAATCAAAGATTTCCAGAGATATGACTGTTTAACAAATTGGTGTCCATCATCTGAGCCTTCCAGAGGAAGAGAAAAAAACAAGAGGGCTACTGACATTTAGATGAGAGAGTGGCTTCCTCTTTTTGCTGTAACTGTGTAGGAAACTAAGGGCTGGGGTGAGTTAGTTAGCAAATAGCCCACAAGACTGCCTGGCAAATTGAAAGGTAGCAGAACTTTCCCAGGCAAGGTGGGAGGGAGTGGCTATAAAGAAAATCAGTACCTTGAGAGCAATTACTTAGCCACAGAAAAAGAGGAAAATGGAAGCACAAGCTGATAGATTAAGTAGAGACCTGCAGAGTTTGGTAAAGGAAAGGAAGTGCAGCTTTTAAGAAAAGCAGAGTCTCCTGAAGTAACAGCAGCAATTTAGGAAATAGAGGTTTTGTAACATGCTCTCACATAAAATAGCTCACACACGTCTGGTTAGTAAAATTCTGTCAAGAAAAGTGGTATTTGAGCACAGGCTTTGCATTAAAAACAATCCTAGGCCAAAGATCAAGAAGCAAGCAGATGATAAAGAACTCTGGGTAAGATTTTGGTTAGAAACAGATTTGGGCTACTACTATTTGATGACAGAATCTAATGAATGGTTAGATAACTTTCTACGTTCCTATACTTCCTCACACACTATGTTCATGTGCTAGTACTGCCTAGTTTCCAGCAACAGCAGAGACTCAATAGTCTAAGAAATTGCCAGGGTGTAATCAATGCTAGTCCTTTTCCGAATTTGTTCCTATTTGTCACTGTGTTTTCAAATTGTGGTCAAGTACTCTAAATAGGGTCTAAAGTCAAAGTAGAATGGAACAATTACTTCCTGGAATTTGTATTCTGTTCTACTGTTAATGCTTCCCAATATAACATTTGACTTTTTAACAGTTGCATCAAATTGCTGGATCATTTTTAACTTATGGTTGACAAAGATATCCAGGTCCCTTTCTAGATATTTGTAACAAGCCAGATTTCTATATTTTTTCCTTATATTTTCCTACCTGAATTTGATCCCTACATTTCTCCTTGATGAATTCTATCCTATTAAGTTCCATCAACCTCGGGCCTCAAAGATTACCAGGAGTTGTTGTGCAATTCTCTTCAAACTATCTAGACCCCTTCCAGTCAGGCTTCAGACCTGGCTACAGCACTGAAACCGCCTTGGTCGCATTGATGGATGATCTTTGGAGAGCCAGAGATGAAGGACATACCTCCATCCTGCTCC